GCAACAAATCAAAACGAACGAAAAAACTCATAAATTTCATCAAAAGAAAGAAAAACATAGAAAAAAGAAGGAGAGAAAAACAAAACAACCACAACACGACACATATAATAAAATGTGGAGAAAAAAGAAAATTTTCACACGTACACACGATATAAACACTCTCTGAGATTTATATGTGCCAACTGAGCATTGAAAAGCAATGAACTACAATATTGGAAAAACGGATCACTATCAAAGAGCAAAAGGTATTGAAAAGAAAACGACAGCGAAAATATACAATTTGTATACAAGAAAAATAATATAATCAAAATAAATACAACAACAACAATATTACAAATTGTTTGAAAAACATCAAAAAATAATAGCCGACGACGCAGGCACAATTCTCAGTAGCAGCAGCCAAATAATCGAAAAAACGGCTTCGAGATGATGTTTACACGCGCCCAAGTGCGCAAACAAAAATCAAACAGCGGCAACTCTAGCGGTCAACGTCCGCGTTCCTCACGAAGTCTACAGCAGCAGCAACAGCAGTATGCCTACGACGTAAGTGTATTTTGAAAACAAAAAATTCCTCATACGCACTCAGAAACTTTTCTATTCTCTGAACATTGGATACACTGATACACTCATTGGATACACTGTGTATACAAATGAGAAAACATTCGAACATCACCAACACATTTCTCTTTTGTACTCGCGAAGAAAGATTCACTCTCGCTTGGTGTTACGCTTTATAGTTCGCATATAAACAAGATTAAAATATAACAGAATTTAAAAAAAAATCGTGGGCAATTAATCCTCACAGATTCATAACAACCTGTTAATGTTCATTAATTATAATTTTAGGACAACAGATATATAAAGCGATTTTAATCAATCCAAATATATGGTGTTCTGCTGTCTATCTACATATTCCTGTCAACCGGGCATAATTGGGGTCGTTGGTGTACCATTTGTATAAAATCGATTAATTTTATTTATGAGAGCTATATATAAATATGTACTGATTTAAAGGAAACACGTCCCATTTAGTATGCTGCAACACATCATCCAACTCTTATTTTCCCCAATAATAAAAATATTATTATTTACTTATATTATTTACAGAAGAGGTCGTAGGTATAGACTTGTAATGTTTCAGGTGGAATCATTTTAAAAAGCTGTGTCAAATATACACAATTGTTTTTGTACTTGAAATTGAAAATCGGTCAAAATGACCGTCTTCGGCAATCTAATGTTAAAGGACCCATTCGGTATACTGCAACACAGCTCGCTAACCAAAGGTTTATATCTATCGTTGGTCTATAATTTGCACGAAATCTCGAGACATATTTGCACTACTACGAAAAAATCGATTGTTTTGCTACTTGAAATATGAAAAGATGTAAAAAATATGGAGAAAATCTCTTGAATCATAACAAAATATGGATCTATACCGACTTGTCCACAAACCGATTATTTAAGCCATAATACAAATTTCAGAAATTTTAGTGGATAATTATACCCTCAGCCTTTTGGCTAATGAGGGTGAGATGACACAGTGAAAGTGTGCCTCATCGAAATATTGGTTCTAGACCCCATGTTTATTTGGACCGAATTTGTTTCAGAAAATTTTGATTTCATCCAAACTTTGCCCATCTTATTATTTCTTCCAAACTTAGTTCAAGTTCCAAGATACGGTCTACTCCTTCTGGTACCTTCCACACAGAGGCTAGTCTTAAATACGGGTTATAATGCATACATAGTTTTTTTATCAAAGCTTACGTTCTAGTTTTTTATACAGTCTCAGAACAAAATCCAAAACGCGGAACAAATTAGATAAATAGTTTAATATAAAACCTGTAAGGAAAGCAGTAAAGTCGGACGGAGCCGACTATATGTTACCCTTCACCACTATGGGTATATTAAAACCAGTGAGCGGAGCTGTATAGTCGGACGGGGCCGACCATACGATACCCTACACAACTTCCATGAAAATCTAACTTTCTGTAGTTCTATATTCTGAGGTTGGTCAATATTTCGCGATATTTGAATACTTTTGACTGGCTAGAGGTCAGCAAATGTTACTAATAATCAGTACAGCCTCTCTAATTACTAGTCCAGATTCCCCTCACCGTGGGCTGTGTTGTGATGTTCGGCTTTCGACTTAAAAATTACAAATAATTAAGTTTTCGGTCCACTTCATCCGAAAAATTATTATCTGACCATCACCTAACATTTTAGGCGTTCTGCTTGATCATAACTGGAACCTCATAGAACATTTCAAAGCGATCAGCGCTATATTTCCGCCATCCAGTGTGGTAATAGGTTACTAAATAATATATGAATACGTAAGCACCTGTAAATATTTAAGTGTAACTCCCGCATCCGAGTACCTACGACAATATAACTGGTATCAATTTAAAGGTCAACCACTCCTCTTGGATATACTATAAACATCTCGGGTCTATGTCCTTCAGTGGTAAATATATACGCCATAGAATACAAATTTTGTCATTTTTCACACAAAAGTTAGGGTCCATTTGCCCGATCACTTCTCCATGCAAAAATTCGCGATGTATGGGCCATAATTGCGGCCTCTAGAGCTTTCTGGTCACTCTAGACAAAAATAAAGTTTTTGGTCCATTTCATCCCCTAAATATTAACGGATCTTTTCCAAAACCAATAGGGGTTCATTGGCCAGAACCCACCCTACTTGCAAAATTTCGTGAAGATTGGTCCATAACTGTGGCCTGTATCGTGTTTACAAATTATAATGGACAGACAGATGGACGGACGGACACACATGTCTAGATCGAATCAGCTAGTCGAGATATGATGATCGATATACTTAAAGGTGGGTCTAGGACCAATATTTCGCGGCGTTACAAACTTTTGGGGCTGCACAAAGATATAATACCCTGACAACATAGTCGTGTAGGGTATAATGACAAAATAGTTGTGTAGGGTATAAAGATGCATCGTAAAAGGTGAAGAAAATATGCGACGTTTACCTAAATGTGAAACGACTTAGATCAATCCATAAGCATGTCATTCGTTTGTTACAATGGGACAAAATTATGTAAATCTACTTAAAGCAAATATCAATCGGGCACCCGTTGAATATTTGGAGCCCAATTAACACGAAGAGTTTAGTGCACAATTTACTTAAAATGGATGAAATGGATATGGAAGCTATATCCAAATATGAACCGATTCAACGAAACTTGTAACATATTATGTTACACAAACTTTAGTACGTTGTGCAAAATTGTGTGGCAATCGATAACTTTGGGTCGGTAAATTTTTAGGAAACTTTACACACACCATTTTAGAATCAATTCAGTACGCTATATCAAATTTCGTGCAAAATTAAAATTAAATCGGTCGAAAATATATGGGAGCTATATCTAAATCTAAGCCGATTTTTTTCGAAAATTAACACACCTCATTCTAGACTCAATTCAGTACGCTATGCCAAATTTCGTCCAAATCGAAAGATATGTTGGGACTTTGGTAAACAATTTACATTAAACCCGGCGAATGTATATATGGGAGCTATATCTAAATCTGAACCGATTTTCACGAAACTTAACACTCATCATTCTAGACTTAATTCAGTACACTATGCCAAATTTTGTGCAAATCGAAATATACATAGTGGCTTTGGTATACCATTTACATTTAATCGGTCGAACATATATGTATATGGGAGCTTTATCTAAATCTGAACCGATTTTCAAAGAATTTTACACACATCATTCTAGAATCAATTCAGTACGCTATGCCAAATTTCGTTGAAATCGAAAGATATATAGGGGCTTTGGTGAACCATTTACATTAAATCGGTCCAAAATATATATGGGAGCTATATCTAAATCTGAACCGATTTTTTCCCAATTTCAATAGGGTTCGTCCTTGGGCCAAATAGACAAGCTGTTCCAAATATCATCCAATTCGGATCATAAATGCGAAATGTTTACAATTTAACATGGACTGGCAGACAGCGTCCGTCCGGACATGCATAAATCGACTTTGAAAGTGATTATATGCATATTCTCAAAAGGAACCATGCGCCTATCTCGTTTCCTTTTGCCTGTTACATATATATGCACAAATACATAAACATGATATAAAAAGGGGGTTATATGGGGACTATTCCAAAATGGGGGCGATTATTAATATTTTTTGATAGGAGATTTGTTACCATATACGACAACAAAATACCAAATTGCAGCGAATTCGCTAGAAAAATGCGCTTAATAACCCTAAAATACCGAAAATTGCGGGGTACCCTTATATGTGGGCTACCTGAAAAAGTGGTCCGATATTTATAATTTTTAATAGAGGCATTTGGTGCCCAAATAGAACCCAATTTACCAAATTTCATCGAATTGGGTTGAGCAGCGCGCTCAAGAACCCCAAAATATAAAAAATTGGGCGGTACCCTTATATGGAGGATATGCCTAATCGTGGATCGATATAGCCCATCTTCGAATTTGACCTGCCTGCAAACAAAAGGCAAAATTTTGACGATCTATCTCAATTTGTTTAGACGCTAGAGCGATTACAACAGACCGAAGGACTCGCTTAAAACGTCATAGAATTCATGATCTCCACTCCGCTGTTCTTTTTACATAAAAATGATTGGTATAATTAAGTCGATAAAAAATTCACAGTTTTATAGCATATGGTCGTTTTATTTTACATTTAATTATTTATTTAAAATATTTTTATATTAGAGAAATTTTCTAATAAATGGTCCAAATTTTTATTAAACAATACGTTTCCATTGTTTATACTTCACCTTGTTTTTGAGGTACAACAAACAAAAATCGAACAAAAAACACACCAAAATTAAAGCACAATGATCGCTCACTGTGTTCGTTCGTTTATTTATTTATTTTTGTTTATTTCTGGTGTTTTTTTTTTCATTATTTTTAGAATCGCTACAAACCATCAAACTTCCCAGGAGGTAGTGGCAGTAGTTCTGCTGCAGCATTATTAGGTCTTGGCGGCAGCAGCAGTAATAGTACAACCAGCAGTGGTGGTGTACGACTGAGGGATCGTGACAGAGATCGAGACAGGGACAGAGACAGAGATCGGGATAGCAGAGAAGGAACAGCAAGTATTGCGGAACGCAGCAGTGGTTATTACAGTGATTTATACAATAGCAATCCATCATTGCTGCATCATCCGCAGCACAGCCGCTACTCAAGTTATGAACTACCCCGCCAACACTCGAAGGAGGATTCATATTCACCGCATCGTTCATACGGTGAAAAATCAACAGCCTATGTGGATCGACGTACCAGGCCACGAAGTATTACAAATCGCCGGGGTGCTATCAAACATCAAAAGTATTTAAAAATGTTTTAATTTTTTACATGCAATTTTATTAATCAAATATTTTGTATCTATTTTTACAGAACACACGAAATCAATGGTCATCGTTTTGTGGCGAAATTTTTTCGCCAACCAACATTCTGTGCCTTTTGTAATTTGTTTCTGTGGGGTTTTGGAAAGCAAGGATACCAGTGTATAAGTAAGTAAACAAGGAGTGTATTTCATTAAATAAATAAATGATATTAAATATTCGGTGGTACATGAGCTTTATTTAAGATAAAACTTGGCACAGATCATTTATTTAGCCCAAGTTCGAACCCTATTGAAATTTGTGAAAATCGGTTCGGATTTAGAAAATGGTGCACCAGAGTCAAATTTAGCCCGATTGACACGAAATTTTGCACAACATTTTTAGCAAATGGTGAACAAAAGACCCAAAATTATGTCGATTGGCACCACGTACTGAAGTTATTGAAATCAGTCCAGGTTTAGAAATAGCTCCTTTATATAATTTCGTCCGATTTTATGTGAATTGTGCACCAAAATCTTCATGTTGGTTCGATTGACACCAAATTGTGCACATCGTTCTAAAGTTAGCCTAGCCTAACGTATGTTAAGTTAAGATATTAAATTCTGCATAGAATATTGTGTTTTGTCAAAATTGGTTCAGATGCATTCGACCGACTTCATATAATTTGTGCACCATATAATCCAATTGAGAACCAGTAAGGAAAGTAGTAAAGTCGGACGGGACCGACTATATGATACCTTTCACCACTATGCGTATATTAAACAGGACTATAACATAAAATTGGATGAAAAAAATGTGATATCTATCTAAATGTGAATCTACCTAGATCTATCCATAAAGTATGTCAATCGACTTCAAACAAATATAAATAGGTCATCCGTTGGGCTATATCTGCACTTCTAGAAAACGCAACTACGTAATTCTATGCTCAATTTTGTAAGTTGTGCAAAATTTGATGTCAATCTGACTAACATGAGGAGTTTGATGCCCAATTTACTTGAAATCGGGCGAAAATATATATGGAAGCTCTATCCAAATATTGAGGGATTTCAAACAAACTTGTCACAGGTTAGGTTATATTAATTTCAGAACGTTTTGTTCCTATTGGTTCCTTAGTACGTCAATTACTTAAAATCAATCTATAATTAAAGGGAGTTATATCTAAATCTGGACCGATTTTCACGAAACTTGGCAGACATCATTCTAGGCTCAATTAAGTACGTTATGCCAAATTTCGTGCAAATCGAAAGATATATAGGGACTTTGGGGCACCATTTACTTGAAATCGGACGAAACTATATATGGGAGCTATATCTAAATATGGACCGATTTTCTCCAAACTTGGCATACATCACTCTAGACTTAATTCAGCACGTTATACCAAATTTCGTGCAAATCAAAAGATATATAGGGACTTTGGTGCACCATTTACATGAAATCGGACGAAACTATATATGGGAGCTATATCTAAATCTGGACCGATTTTCACGAAAATTGGCAGACACCATTCTAGACCTAAATGATTAGGCTGTACCAAATTTCGTGCAAATCGAAAGATATATAGGGACCGTTTACATTAAATCGGTTAAATAAATATATGGGAGCTATATCTAAATCTGAACCGATTTTTCCCAATTTCAATAGGGTTCGTCCTTGGGCCGTATAAGTGACCTATGTCAAATTTCATCCAATTCGGATCATAAATGCGACCTGTACTTTGTTTACAATTTAACATGGACAGACAGACAGACGGACGGACGGACATGAATAAATCGACTTAGAAAGTGATTCTATGCATATTCTCAAAAGGAACCATGTGTCTATCTCGTTTCCTTTTGCCTGTTACAAACATATGCACAAAGACATAATACCCTGTACCACAGTGTGGTGAAGGGTATAAAAAATATAGAACGGCTCTCTGTGTTGTAGCATAATGAATAGTTTGATTTTAATCGATTTGCATAATTTTGTCCCATTGCACAAAAACGACTCTAAATTAGCTCCGACGAAATGGAATTTGGCATACGTTACCTAGGACATGTGTGTGGATTGATGTACCCAATAAGAACCCATTGAACCAAATTTCAACGAATTCCAAAATACCGAAGTTTGGGGGGTACACTTATATGGGGGCTATGCCTAAACGTAGACCGATAAAGTTCATCTTCGAACCTGCAGATAAAAGACAACTCTATGCAAACTTTTGGCTTCTATCTCAATTCGTTTATTTGCCGATCACCTACTTTATAGGGTCGGAAATTATTTTTTCGAAAAACGAACTTAATATAACCTCCATACTATGGCGGAGGGTACACAAAGGTGCAAATGTACCCGGTTATTTATCGTAGGGTTACGTCAGATATAGACACATATCAGTCAGTCAGTGGTCCTTGAAAAATACGAGGTCTGTTAGGATGCATATCTTGATTAAAGCCAAAGTGGTAAAGGGTATACTTTGCTTTCCTTACTGGTATTCCTTATAATTACCGACTTTTCCATTTCGCCATAATCCACGAAATTATCGATGAGGAGATCTCCAAAAAAATGTACATATATTTTCAAAACATTAACATTCAAATAAGCCGCTCTTTGTAACTCCCCCAAAGGTTCAAAATGATATAATGATACCTAGAAAATGTGGGTATATTAGAGAATATTTGCACGTGTTTTCAAACGTATTGACCATATTTTGGGTCCTCATTGTGTTACACATCTTCCTACCAAAATTATCAAAAATTGGTCATCATAGTATGATTGGTATTTTAAAAAGTATGGACACTCTCTCCCATCGAAATAACTCTAATTCAGTGATGCTCACGGAGAGAGGATGACAATTTGTAAATGTATGTGTGAGACTATTACACAAAGCTAAAGAGGCCCACACACGGCAAACAAGTGCGGTCCATCGGTGTGTATGAAAAATTAATAAAAGTAAAATGTTCTCTTTTTTTGGGTCGTCATTTCGCTGTCCATCTTCAATCTTAAAAAACAAAAGTTGAGGTGATCGCTAGAGTTCAAGGGCGTGCATCCCTACTCTAATTTTGTATTTCAATGCTCAATAGAGGCCCCATACAAGGGTATTTGTTCCCACCCGATTTTTATACCCTCCACCATAGTATGGAGGGTATAATAATTTTATCATTCCGTTTGTAACTCATCGAAACATTCATAAAAGTATATATATTCTTGATCAGGGTAAAATTCTAAGACGACCTAGCCACGTCCGCCCGTCTGTCCGTCTTTTGTCTGCAGGTAGGTCAAGATCGAAGATGGCATATATCGGTCCACGTTTAGGCATAGTCCCCATACCGCCCAATTTTCGATATTTTGTGGTTCTTGAGCGCTCTTTTCAACCGAAATCGCTGAAATTTGTATATTGGATTATTTTTGGGTACCAAATGTCTATACTAAAAATTATAAATATCGGTCCACTTTTTCTGGTAGCCCCCCTTATAATGGTACCCCCAATTACGGTATTTTGTGGGGTTATAAGCGCGTTTTTAAACCGTGTTCGCTGAAATTTGGGTTCTTATTGGGAACCAAGTTTCTCCACTACATATTATTAATATAACCCCATTTTTTCGGGTAGCCCCCATATAAACACCCTCATTTTTCTGTATTTTGGGGTTTTTGAGCGTTCTTCAACCGAATTTGCTGTAATTTGGTATTTTGTAGTCGAATATGCCCCTTTTATGGGTAGTTCCCATATAACCCCCTTCTTATATTAAAATAGTTAGCTGATTAGTTCCGTGTGTAAGGGTTGTCGCCATATAGGCGTATTCTACAATAGTATAGGGGATAGTCGTTACTCGAAATAGTCAGTTGTACTCTACAAATTATGGAATTCAAAGAAAAAATAATTAAGCTTTCTATGGAAATCGTAATCAAAAACTCGAACCTGACGATAATGAAATATATCGGCCAACATTTAGGCATCTCCCTCATATAAGTATACCTCCTGGAGGAAAGAATTGAGACACAAAACAAAAATATTGGGTTCAAAATTGGCATATGTCGGTCATTGATTAGGCATAGCCCTCATATAATTATAGCCCCAAATATTCGATAATTCCTACATTATGGAATTTAACTTTGTAATCTAAATTGCTGTAGTTTGAGGATTGTATTATCTAACATGCGTCATTAGTATCAGTCCACGCTTTGGGGTTTTCAGAAATTAATTTGTATTTGGTGTACACAATGGTTTACATAAATCGATATAGGTTCACTTTTTGGTTTGTTCTCAATATTTTCATTTCAAGTTTCTGTCAGTATACCAAACTTACCGTTTTTTCACTTGTTCAAATTATATTCCTTATAATTATTTTCATTTTTTTTATTTATTTCATTTTATTTTCAGCCTGCCAAACTGCTGTGCATAAAAAATGTCATGAAAAATTGTTGGGCAAATGTTCGGGTTCGGTATTTGATTCCGCAAGTACTATTGTAAGTTTATTAAAATTTATTTATTCGAATTCAATACCAAAAAATTTTCGCTTATTTCAGTTACTGCGTGAACGTTTCAAAATTGATATGCCACATCGTTTCAAGCCGCATACATTTATGTCACCAACATTCTGTGATCATTGTGGTTCAATAATGGGTGGATTTTTTATACAGGGTCTGAAATGTGAAGGTAAGTGCAGATATTTTTTATATATTTTAAAAAAATTTGTTGTTGTATGTGGTATACCAAATTGTGAATTAATTAAAATACACGTTGAGTGGGGAAAATCAATAGAGGTGGAGAAGAGCGCCATCTGTTGAATTTTAAATACAATTACTGTGTTGAATTACTTAGCAAATACACAAACCAAAGGTATTTTATTAACCCATTAAATACAGTGTGTTGAATATAATGCGTTTGTAGATGATACACAATGTGCAGAAAAAAGGAAATTATCCACAGCTACACATGTATAGTATTCACATATTTATGAACAATTTTTGTTCTTTTGATTTTAATAAAATATAGTTGTTGTTAATGAGATGTAATATTAAGAACAATAACAAAATATAGAACATTCGAAAAATGATGCATGTTTTCATCTTCCAATTGATATAAATATACATTCCGGTTGATTCAATAAGACTTATTTACTGAAAACCTTGCTGAAAATTGAAAATATTACAGACCAATCCGATACTTTTTCATGATGTACAATCTTTACGAAATTCATTATTGTATATAGATATAAGGTTTTCTTCTGGGCAAGGTTCCGGAAAAAATATATGCATGTTTATGAGCGACGTTTTCGTATATTATTTAAATGTCAAAAAAATCTCGTTTTTTGTTTAGGTCTCGAGAAATAAAAACTCTCATTCGATTTGATGAGGCACACAAGTTGAACCCATTCAGTCTCAAAAAATATTTTTGTCGGAATAAAAATCTAAAATTTTGTACTTCAAATCATAGGCAAACAAATTAAAAGCGTTAAAACATCATGTTAAACCCCACACAATATAAAAAAACACTGAAAGGGTTATTACATTAAACTTACATTCTACGGAGTTTTTCAGATCAAGGGTCAACAATCTATCTTTCATAAAAAGGCAACTTTTCCCAAAAAGAAGACATATACGCCATAATATACAAACTTGTTACATTTTTACACAAACATCTTGGTCCATTTGACCCGATATATAGTGACCGATAATCTCCAAAAAAGGGATTGCTGTAAAATTTCGTGATGTTAGGTTCAAAATTGTGTTCTAGACCGACCAACTAAACAGATAAACATTAAGTTTGTTCGTGCCTTAAATATTAACCTACCATTACCAAAAAATATAGGTGCCGTACTAAATGCAAAATTTTGTGACGTTTGGTCTAAAACTGCACTGCTATTACAAGTTATAATGAACAGACGGACAGACTTGGAAAACATGTCCGACGATGTTGAAAATAATAAGTAAAGCCACAGATTGTAAAGACCCGACTTCTGTTTTCTGGGAGGTCAAATATAATAGAGGTCCATACTAGTCCACATTGTGGCATAGCCTCACCACACTGTAGTACAGGGTATTATGTCTTTGTAGATATGTTTCTAACAGGCAAAACGCAACGAGATAGACACATGGTTCCTTTTGAGAATATGCATCGAATAATTTTCGGAGTCGATTTATGCATGTCCATTAGTCTGCCTATCCATGTTAAATTGTAAACAAAGTACAGGTCGCATTTATGATTCGAATTGGATGAAATTCGGCAAAGAGCATTAATTTGGCCCAGGGGTAGGGTTCGTCCTTGAAATTGGGAAAAATTGGTTCAGACTTAGATATAGTTCCCATATATAATTTCGTCCGATTTTAAGTAAACGGTGCACCAAGAATCCAAAGTTAGACCGATTGGCATAACACGTGTCACGTTTTGTTAAAATCGGTTCAGATTTTGATACATCCCCCATATATATTTTCGGGCGATTTTATGTAAATGATCCACCAAGGACCCACAATAAGACCGATACGCGCAAATAGGCACTTTATGTTTATTGGGCTCCAAATAGTCAACGAATGGCGGACCTTTGAAAAAATATTTTAGGAAAATCGCCAATTTTATACTATAAAATGAGTTAAGAAATATTTTGACCGATTGAATTTATCCTAGTTCATACGATAGCTATACACTCACAGAGAAACGTCCCAAAATTTGGAATGGATCGGATTATTAATTTTTGAGTTATCGTGCCCGCCATTCCCTAAAACGCTGTTTGGAGAAAAATGCGTTTAAGCCTTCTTGCCGTCACTTGATGCTAGCACAATAAATCGGCTATATCTTCAAGAGTTTTTGAGATTTTCCCTTGTACATAACAATAGATGTACATAACAAATTGTAAACAATTGACTCTCTGCAAATGAAAAATTTAGTATAGGTTGCACAATGATATGTTTATGATCTGATCTATATCGGTTCACATTTAGATAAAGACCACTTAATTTAGTTCAACCAATGTCATGTTAATAATCCTTCAAAATACGTTATTAAAGAAAGGTCCTTATTTTTGATGGCGGGCATGATAACTTCTCACTGGAACATCGGAATCCGAAAATTCCAACGGTGTTAGAAAGAGTACATGTCTGGATCTCGTATGAACCAGGATTATTGACTTCGCTCTAAAGTTAACAAAATGGCGGACCTTTGAAAAAATATTTTTGAAAAATCGCCGATTTTTGACCAAAATCCAAGCTAACAAATAAGGAAGATCTTCACCGATTGACTTTATACTAGTTCATACGATAGCTAAACACTCACAGAGAAACGTGTAAAAATTTGGAATCGATTGGGTTATTAGTTTTTGAGTTATCGTGCCCGCCATTCGCAAAGGAGAAAAACGCGTTTAAAGTTTGAGAAGCCCTTCAGCCGTCACTTGATGCTGACACAATAAATCGGCTATATCTTCAAGAGTTCTTGAGATTTTCACTTGGAATTTTGTAGGGACATTCTTGAATTAGTGTATATTTGAATTAAATCAAAAAAAAAATTGACCCCGAGAATGGGGGTCCCCTTAAGTCATGCAATAAAGGATTTATCCTCCGAAAACTGGAAATGGCACATTGAAGGCATATCTATTGGGAACAAATTAGCGGCACCTTTGTATGAAATCGAGCACCAGAATTGGCCAACCGGAGAGGTGTCGCGTCCCACCAGGACAACGCTAGGCCACACACATCTACAGTATCTTCTATGACAGATACATTATTAAGTTACCTTTAAAATGGCAACAAATCATATCGGACATTCCGAAGCATGTTAAATAAAGTCCTATAGTTCACATAAAAATAATAGTTTTCTTTATCCCCAACCTATTATATGGAATTATAATCAACCCTTACAAATACCATTCAGAAATCTAAGACAAATTACATGCACATCGGGCAGAATTTGCTTCCTTGTTGTATCATTTGTATGAAATCGAGCAAAATTATATTACATGTAAATCTGGACCAATTTGAGCAACTGTGGCATACACCATTTGGTATGATGTATACCACCATCCAAGACCTCGGTTGGGAAAAGTGGCTAAAGGTTTCAAAGTATAAAACATTTGGGGGCTAACAAAAACATGGCCCGATATTCCTCATTTGAAATATTATACATCCTAGGTGTAATAGTAGTGCAGTAGTGTAATTCAATATACGGATAGGGAGACATACATGGCTAAATCGATATGCATTGCCCTATTTGCCTAATGTTTCAAATATCAATATAAATTGTATATAAGAGCTAAATATACGAAACATGGGCCTATATAAAACATTTTCTGCAAAGATGTATACCACCATCCAAGACCTCGGTTGGGAAAAGTGGCTAAAGGTTTCAAAGTATAAAACATTTGGGGGCTATTACAAAACATGGCCCGATATTCCTCATTTGAAATATTATACACCCAAGGTGTAATAGTAGTGCACATGTAATTCAATATATGGATATGTATTTTTTTCTGATCAAGATTATATACGTTATAGGGTCTCCGTCGAATTTTTCGAGGTATTACAAACGCTATTAATACCATATTGTGGAGGGTATATTATAGGGATTTCATTTAAGTTTAACAACTTTTTAGAAGCTAAAATAAGGCCGATCGCACTATGTGACACACCTATATCAATTTTCCACACTCATTTCAATACATTCAAATTCACTAGAAATTTCCCGTTAAATGTTATCTGGCTTATTGATTAATTTGTGAAAATTTTAAATGGTCAATAAGTATTAAACGATATGTAGAATAAAAAATGTATTTTCATTTCGCTAAATATTCAAAATCTGATTTATTGGCATAACATAAATTTAAGATATTCTGTGAATCACAATTTTTGTACACAGTCAATGGCATATTTACGCAGTTAATATGGACATTTTCATATATGATTTGTTCGATGTATTCCTATGAACAATAATATGGAACTAAACAAAATTCCCCTACCTGACAGATAAGGCGTATGAATAATAAAACAGATGATAGTAACGTTAACGTATTTGTTTAAGGGGATTCCTTGAAATATTAGTGGTTTTTGGTATTTTCTTTCGATTTGAATTAGAACAAACAAAAAAATGTACATCACATTTGATTGATTCTTGTATAAACAATGATATAGAAAACAAAACAATAAATCGCAGAGAATTAAAATGTTGTTCTTTTCGCATTTCCTTGTGTAACGCAAAGAAATATATGTATGTATGTATTTGTGTGTAGTGGTTGCTCTCTTTTTTTTAAGAAATTAATGCACACACCATCAACAATTCACACCTGATTTCGAAATCATATTTTCATCTATGTGGGAACTGAGTATGTATGTGAGGGATTGGTTGGCTGGCACAATGACAACGTTGATGACACACAATAGACTACTTAGTGGATTGTTGAATGTGTCCACATTATTATTTTTGTTTGTCGTAACACATCTGCACACATACACCCAGATGACAATTTGCTAGAAATCTTCCATCAGTAAATCCAACATTTGAATGCAATATTTCAAATTCTAAGGAAGTTCAATGACATTTTCTCTTAATAAATAATTTCTATATAATTTTTTTTTCTTTATTTTTCGATGCCATGGTAGCATTTTGATTTGTCTATATATTAACACATTTTTTAGAGTTTAATCCATTGCCAAATAATTCAAATGTTAAAT